TCAAAGTATTCGACGCTCATAACTTTTACGAACTCCATGTTTCACTTGCAATATAGTCTTAAATTATTCGAAAAAGATGGTGAGAAGGGGCAAAAATTAATCACAAAAGAATTTTCAATCTCTCTGACCCTGGCGCTTAATACGCTATTTGTCCCTTACTAACATGAATAATGTGTACATCGAAGTTTCATCAGGCAAATTTGTCCTCGAGAGACATAGGAGCAGGGGACTGTGAAAATTGGAAGCCTGGATGGTAGGAGAAGCATAGATCTTCTATGTTATAAGAGAAGTATAGAAACCTTTCCCGACAAAGAATTACATCTCTTCAAATCACAACCATGAGAATAGAACATTGTTACAACAATGTGCAAAAGGATAAGCAATAACCTCACTTTAACTTTGAGTTGCAGGTTTCACGCCCTATATTCACGTGTTCACCAATGAAGTATAAGTACAGAAGCACTGCAATCTATCGTAGTTGCACATCTTCACCGATGGAGCACAATTCACAAGCGTGCGCCACTAGAACCAGTGGGCCACAAATCATTGGAATGCCCCAAGACCTGTTAGCGGCTTTGCTCGTTGCAATAAAACAATATATAGGCCACGAGCCCAACACGTTTATAGGCACGGGCTAATGACGTCTCATGTGCTAATGCAAGCATGTGAAGTACAAAGTATGCCATTAAGTAGCCTTGTACCCTCACGCATGCCTATGCACAAGTGAAGAGGATAAACTTATATTTAAAGAAAGTTCCTTAATTCCATTCCTCAACGTAGGATAAATAAACCTTCTAGTCTCTCTTCAAATAAGGTAAAATATACCTTTCAGAATACTATGATACAAAGAATATATTATTTTGAAATAGCCGGTAGTATTTTTCAAAGCAAAATACAACAATGTTCATCGATTAAAATGTATAAGGAGAAAGGCTTTTGCAAGACCATTTGCAAGCAGCTCTGCATCATTCCAGATCTATTTCCCCTGTATATTCATGCCTTATATTTTTTTTAGAGCAATTTACGTATGGACCAAAATTACACAAAGAGTAGGTAAAAAGATATTCTTTTTTTGTTATTCCTAAATTTCCCATCAAAGGATGGAATTCCATCCTCGTACCACTTGTTATTTTTGCTTTTAAGTTTTTTTTTTTTTGCAAAATAGGGCTATAGGGTCATGTTCACTTCGATATGAGGATGCCAACTTCGAAATACCCAAAAACCACCAAAACCTCAGTTAGAAATGGATGAATGCTGTAAGACGTTATCTAAAGAAACTAGGAAAGTTTAATGAAAGAATTGAACTTTATCATTATTCTTTAATTTGAAGGCATCCAAGGGTTCAATGGGGTCCAAGGATTCCAACCTTGGACCACGCTAACACCACCAAAACGAGGCACCGAAGACGGTGCGATCTGAGCATCCTCGAACCGCATTATGGAGTTGTTCAATGTAGCCGGAGGATGCCAAACACGGACCGATTTTATCTATCAAAGAAAAGTAGATAAAAAATAAAAAATAAAAAATAAAAAACAATTAACAGTTGGAGGTTGGTACCCTTACAACGCGCGGTAGTTTTGAGATAAGAAAAAAAAGGCTTTTGACCGACCCTAATTTTTGCCCAAAGTGACCCAATTTTTATTTTATTTAATTATTTTGTGTCCGTACGTAAATTGCTTTTTGTTTTTACTACATTGGGTGCATACAAAGACGGTCCATCGATGAGAACCTATACCATTCATTAACAAAAGAATATTGGGAAAAATAAGAGAGGGGCCGGGCCTGGAGAAACAATATTTTGGTTCAATGGGACAAGGCTAGTAAAAAACGTGTGTAAGGGATTTGAGGAAAACGGATAATGATGGGGACACGGGGCCCTCATCCTCTTCTCATTTCTATCTTACCTACAATATAGCATTATTTAAGATCGAGATGATTAACACGTGCCAATGTTCCTTCAGCACGTGTGAGAGGTTATGGGGATAGTGAGAGTGGTCCATGGATTGGGGAAATAACCAATCTGATGTTGATCTTCTCTTATCTCTCCAAAAGGAACCCAACCTTGTGTTATGTATGAGGACTCAGTGAAGGGAAAGCTTTCTATGTTTTTTCTAAAACATAGAAGTTCTATCCTCCTTTTATCCAACCGTTCATTTTTTAATCGAGGGTTAAGATTGTTCCAATCGTAATGTCACGTCTCTACACTATTTTATTTTTAATTTTTTTTATAAATTATTTTGACACTAATTTTTGGATGTCCATTCCTCTATTAAACTCGCACTAACCAAAAATATATAAAAAATATTTTTGATAAAATAAAATGACCAAAATACCCTTGAGAGATTCAAGAGGTATTTTGGTCATTATTTTTTATCAAAAAATTATTGTTAATATTTTTTATAGGTACGCCCCAATGAGAAGATGGTACATTCCAAATTTCATATTTAGAAAAATTGTATTAAAAAACTAAAAATAAAATACTTTGAGACGTCGGACCTAAGATCAAACGGTGAGTGGCTATCCTGATAAAAAATGGACGGCTGGATGGTACGGAAAGATAGAACTTCTATGTTGTAGGGGGAACATAGAAAGCTTTCCCTTCAGAAAATTCGGTGGAAACCCAAAATAAGTTGGAAAAAGTTTATATAGAGGTGAGGCTCTAAATAATCAAATTAGAGCCCACCTCAAAAATTTCACTAGAAGAGGTTGTTTTGATGCTCAAATATCCTCAACTCGATCATCTCGATATTAAGATGGATGGACATGAAAAAAAATAGATTTCAAGTCTTGAAAATAGTGCATTTTGTAACGCATTTATGGACCGTCAATTTTCAAGATTTTCAAGTTTTTATAGATTTATTCGATCTACTATTTTTGAAGCTTTAAATTTTATAATTAAAGATGAAAATATCTTTTAAGGTTATCACAAAGATTTATATTATTGAAACCGCATTTCTCAACACTATTTGAAGCTGTGCTTTACTTTGATTGTTTAGAGCCTCAACTCTATACAAACCGCACCCAAATAAGTTTTTTTTTGGCATTTTATGACTTGTATCAAGTCAGATTTTAGAACCAGTCACAAGTCCTATACTTAAATCAGAATAAGATAAGAATGAAATAACTAAAGAATTTTAGGCCTCACCATAAAATGTGTGGATCAATATAGCATTCTCAAAATGAAAATCTTTCAGGGTCTTTTAGTACCTGTTTTCTTGATCCTGTTTTAAAAGCAAGAAAGCGTGGAGAGGATTGAAGCATAAAGTTTCGGGCCTTCACTTCACGTACACAAATGAGAGAGCCACGTAAAAAGCCCCAAATATTTCTTGTGCTCAAGAAAAGTAAAATTCGGTGTCAACTCGGTCGGTATGTTTGTGGGCTACACATAGCCAGTGTTGGGTGTGAATGGAGGAGAGAGAGAGAGAGAAAGAATAAGAAACAGAAGGGAAGAGAGAGAAAGTGGTACCCTCAAATGGTAGCATCGAGATGGACAACTTTGGATGGTGCTCTTAACTCTATAGAGATAAAAGAGAGCGTTGCGTTGCGTTGCGTTGGTCCGTCATTCATGGTAAGCGCCCGATTAGTTAGAGATTGTTTTCAGTATGGGACTAAGTAGGTAAGCGCCCATTTACAAAGACCAGGACCGTCTTGGTGGAATCCTTTTAAAATTAGAAAAAGTTTATATATGTGTCCACCTTATATTATTAAAAGTAAGGCAAATGGAAAAACCATCGGAAATGGTTCCTAAAAAAAACCCTCAAAGTGATCGTCCCAACATTGAGCTGAAATGCATGAGCATAAAAAAAAAAAAAAAACCTTTCATGAAAGCAATATGTATGCTATTATAAAGTTATTTATTTTTGACAAAGTTACATAGGAATAGGAATGGATCTTGAAATGTGAGGCCATTAAAACCCAACTGCTTCCGTCTTAGCCCAAACTCGATTCCTGTGCCATTATAAAGTTTTATGGTGCCGAAACTGTATCTTTCGGGTGAGATTGTGGATTGTCATGCCCCTATTCGATTGAAGTGATTTAAATGAACTGTGGCGTTTGTAGAGAGCCGAGGCTCTAAACAATCAAAGAAAAGCACACTTTCAAATAGTGTCGAGAAATATGGTTTTAATACTGAAAATCTTTGTGATAGCCTTAAAATATATTATATATTTTCATCACTAATTATAAAATTTAAAGCTTCAAAAATTATATAGATCGATTAGATCTATGAAAACTTGAAAATCTTGGAAATTGGCAGTCCAAAAATACATTACAAGATGCACCATTTCCAAAACTTGAGTTCTATTTTTTCTCATGTATATGTTTCTTGAGGTTGAGATGATCAATTTAAGGATATCTGGGTACCAAAACAGCCTCTTCTAGTGAAATTTTTTAGGTGTGCCCTAATTTGATTGTTTAGAGCCTCGTACTAGTGAAATTTTTTAGGTGTGCCCTAATTTGATTGTTTAGAGCCTCGTACTTATATAAACTTTTTCCTTAAATGAATTAGAAAAAGGGCACGGTTTGTATAAAGCCTAGGCTCCAAACAATCAAATTAGAGCCTATCTTCAAATAGTATCGAGAAATGTGGTTTTAATATTGAAAATCTTTTTGATAGTCTTAAAATATATTTTCATATTGATTTATAAAGTTTAAAGCTTCAAAAATAGTGTAAATTGATAGATCTATGAAAACTTGAAAATCTTGAAAATTTACAAACAAAAAATACGTTATAAACTACACTATTTTTAAAACTTTAAATTCATTTTTTTTCTCATGTTCATGCTTCTTAATGTCAAGATAATCAATTTGAAGATATTTGAGTATCAAAAGAACCTCTTTTGGTGCAATTTTTGATGTAGGCTCAAATTTGATTGTTTAGAGCCTAGGCTCTATGTAAACTTTTCCCTTGGAAAAAAACACATAAAAATGAAGATAGTTATTTTTAAATTTTTCATACTATTCATTTTAACTCTTTGTAGATTTGTACTTGGTTTTGAGCTGCAAAAAACCACGGATCTAGATTGATGTTTCAAGTGACATAAGTGTTCCTGCATCTATAGAAAGATATCCAGGTACACAGGACAGATTCAATCCATTTAACATGATTCCAAAGAGAGAGATTACAAAAACAACCCTAAATTTGAGAGAGAGAAAGAGAGAGATTGATGAAATTGAAGAAGCTTAGTTTAAGTGATGGAAACTGGTTGTGGGCATCCGAAGCTCGCAGCCAGTCCAAAAACACATTTGTGCGACGCCACAATCTGCTCACCTTCGCATAGCAATATAAAAAAAAGAAAATAATAATAATAAGAAAGAAAGGAAAAAAAAAAGGGATGAGAGAGAAACGCCTTAATCATTAAGTGGGACAAGGCACCGTCCAAAAGCTACGGCCATCCAATCCCCGACATCACCACCTTCTTCTCTCTCTTACAAGAAAGAATCAGCGAACTCCAAGTGATAAAGTGGCCACTCACTCATATTCACGTAAGCCCGACAAGGGGCTACGCAAGAGAGAGAGAGAGAGAGCACATGCAGTCGCCTGGCCGGTGCACGTGGGGAGAGCAGTGCAACTTGGGGTGGATGGGGCCAATGCGGGGAGGACTCATGCCCTCCCCCGTACCAATGGTACATAACCAGAACGTCACGGAGAGAGACAGAGAACCAATAAGGTAGAGAGAGAATCATTTTTAGGGCATCAACCTTTCGTTGTTCACAGAGAGAGAGAGAGAGAGAGAGAGAGAGAGTACGAATGAGGGGAAGAGAGAGGCGTTCCCGAAATGTACGAATATTTGAGGAGAGCAGATGGGAGAGAGTGAGAAGTTGAGAGAGAAGGAGCATGAAAAGATTTTAAGATATTACGGTAAACACATTGGTGGACGTTGATGGAGAACAAGTGTGTAGGGAACAATGAGAGAGAAAATTAGAGAGTGAAAAAGAGGAGAGAGAGAGAGAGTTAAGAAGATGCAACACAAAAAGGCTCCCATATCAACGGGCCCTTCCCCTCTTTACATCGACTGGGCCTCAGCTGAATTGGATTCACCACCTCATTAACACGCATCCCCCACTCTTCATCTTCAGAACCATTTTCTCTCTCTTCTTCTTCTTCCTCACCACCCCACGATCCGGAGCTCAATCCCTCGCTTTCTCTCTCTAGCTGTCCCTCTCCCCCCGCACCAACACCCGACCCGCATCTCGATTCCGCGCTTTCTCTCCGTACCTCCCCTGTTTCCAAACGCGAGTCCTCCTCACTTTCTCTCTCTACACCTTCCGTCTCTCGATAATTCGAAGCCATGAAGCGGAGCCGGAGACGACCGCCTTCTCTCTCTGCGAGCAAGTAAGATTGAGAACGAACCATCACAGCTTTCATTACCAAACGCCCATCTTTCCTATGTGATTTCACATGGAGACAGGGGCCATTTTGGCCTGCAATCGAAGGAAGAGGAGGCGGAAATAGGCGAGCGCCATTTTTCGAGGAGGCCAGTCTCCTGTAACTCACTGCTTTTCTCTCTCTTCTCATTTCCTCGCCTTCAAGCCAATCTTCTCCGCACCTGGTTCCAGTTTCGCTGCCTAAGCTCTCTGTGCACAATTCGAGGCTCTTGGTGCTCAATTTAGAGAGAGAAGTTTGTGCTGGGTGCTTCCAAACAGAGGTTTGTGATTCACTGGTTTCTTCTGTGGTTTTGGTTTCGAGTGAATGAGGTAGTGGTGGATAGAGAGAGAAAGTTGGAGGAGAGAGAATTGGGGGACTTGGTTTTGGAGAGAGAAAGAGAGGGTTAGAGTTAGATTTGGTATGGTAGGGGCCAAGGAGGAGGGAGCCTATTCCTGGGGGATCATTGAGTCTTGGATCCTGGAAAGAGTGGAGGGTTTGGCATGCTCCTGACATTTTTAGGGAGAGAGAGAGAGGGATTGAAATTTAGCTTAGAAGTAGAGAGAGAGAGAGAGAGAGAGCCAAATGCTGGGGACAAAGTTTTGCTTCAAAGAAGTGGAGGGATTAAGAGAGAGAGACCCAAGTGGAGAGGGACATAATTTGCCTTCAAATTTCAAACAAATACATTGAGGGAGGGGCTAGTTGCCAAAATGCAGATTAACAAATTTTGCCTCAAGCAACTATAGAGAGAGAGGGGGGTTAAATTTCACCTTCAAACAACGAAAGCAAAACAAAAGGACAGGTAGAGAGAGAGAGAGTAGTAATGAAAGGTAGGAAATGGAAAACAAAGGGCAAGAACGTAGTAATAAAGAGAGAGAGAGAGAGAGAGAGCAAAGAAAGGGCAAGTTATGCATGCGGGGATAAGAGGGAGGTGGGGGAGAGGGCTGAATTTGTAGGCGTGAAAAGCCCCAGTCATGTGTTGGCCGGGCCCATCCACGCCACTAAAAATACAATGACCCATTTTATTTTCGCCGCATTAAAACGAAAGAAAAATAAAAAAATATGAGAGAGTGGTAGAAGGAAACGACACAAATGGGCCGAGAAACGAGAAATTCCGGCGATCGGGAAATGTGGTTTGATCGTTTTCAGGCGGGCCCTTTGGCGACAGCCTTTTTCTATTCTCTCTCCGTCCAATGCCAAAAGAATGCCAACAAAACCATTCGAAATCCAAGGATTCTCGCAAATATTTGACGATAGCGATCTCCATTCTCATTATTACCGCCCTTCCTCTCTTCTCTTACTCCCTCCTCTTTCTCTCTCTAAATCTCACCTCTTTCTCTCTCCTTACTTCTTATTTTCTCTCTCTTCATTTCTACGCGCATTCTCCCCTTTTTTTTTTTTCTTTCTCTCACAACATGCCTCCCAAAAATTTTCCCACCTGCCCTTCCCCAAATTCTTACCAAAGTGCCCTTCATTACAGGCTTGTCTGAAGTTAAATTCGGTAAATTATTAGGGGTATTTTCGACTTTCTGACGTTCTTTCTCCACGTACTGTTTGCTCCTAGCTCAGCACAAGTAAATTCTACTGCCATAGGGATACTTTAGACATTGTTGCGACATTGAATGGTTTTTATTGTCACATTTTTTGCCAAGTTGAAATTTGTAAAATTTATGTCCAAATATCGATGAATTTAGGTCTGTTAAACTCATGAAATATCAGAAATGCCATTCGTAGACTGAGCGCACAGACGAGAGGTGGGCATTATAGTCTTTTCGCGTCGGATGAAATCCGAGGAAAGGGGCCTAGAGAGAGAAAGTCTCCTCAGGCCTGACAGAAGATCTCGTCTCTTGGCCGTACGATCCCGCATTGCGCTTTTTCTCCCTCTCTCTCTCTTCAAAACTCGAGACGAAATCACGAGTCCCCATTGGTTGCCACCGTACGGCGCGGCTTGCTGCCATTCCATTTTCTTACTCCTCTTATTCTTGCCCCGCCCTGCCCTGCCAGGGCATAAAAGGAAAATCTCTCACCCATAACCGTTCATGTAACCAACCACTGTCTCTCTCTAAAATTAAGTTTTGTATATGGTGGGGTTTCTATAGGTTTCCCACTTTATACTAACGCATATTTCTAAATTTTGCTGAAACTCTTATGTCGGAAACCTTACAAACAACCCAAATTTCGCATTTATAATTCACAAAATATGCAAACGCTTGAAATCTTGAAAATAAATGATACTTGCTCCAAGATGCAATGTTTTTAGAACTAAAAATTCTATTTTCCCTTTATATACATATATTTCCAAGTTGATACGATTAATTAAAAGGTTCTCCAACTTCGAGACACTTTTTTTACTAGATTTTTTGAGGTACACCCATTGAAGGAAAAAATCGGATGGTCTAAATAGTAAACGTCTCATTATCCGGTTCCGGTTGGTTTTGGTGAACGATTGGTTAGTTTTTAAAATATGTATACATATATAATCCCAAAAAATAAGAGATTTTGTTTGTAATGTATTTTTTAATTTTTTTTCATTACAGAACGATTGGAAATTGTTCCGATCAATAGTACTTATTTTTAAATTTTTTCAATTTTTTAGAAAATTTCAAAAATACCCTTGAACACAAATCGATTTTTTAAAATTTATTTATGTATACTAATTTTCAACTTCTAACCAACCTCAATTAATTGTAAAAAGCCTAAAATGATAATGATGATTAATTTTAATTGGATGTGCTTTGTTTAATCATTCTTTAAATATCCCTTTATATTTTTTTATTAATTTTTTGACTGCCCGAGAGTTGCTCAGTTAGAAGGGTTGCATTTGCCGGTTTACCGGTTAGGCTAGTTGAATCCCTTTCGGGCTCATGTCCAGTTAACCATTCTAGTTCGATTTTTCCTACATTTAGTATACCTCACGTATATAATATAAATTGCAATTTTACGTGAGAAAAATTGTTTCATACGAGCTGGACTGCATTTCTACAATATACGGTCTAGAGGTACGAAGCATCCATCTTAAAAAAGGATGCAAAAATAGGTAATCCGTCTAAAAACAATTGTAACAAATAGTCAAAATGTTTTTTTTTTTTTATATATATAAGTACTATTTTTATTTTTTCATATTCATGATTTCCATGTTAAAGATTATTATTCTTTAAAAATTAAGATCAAATTATATTTAAAAAAAATATTTATTGCACATTTCTATGTCCTTTACATAAACTGTTGCTTACTTTTACTATGCAGAGCCTCTCTGGTTAACATCTCTCTCTCTCTCTCTCTCTCTCTCTCTCCCCAATTTCAGTCAAAGCCATAACCGTTCCTGGCTTTATGCAACCAACCTCTGTCTTGTCTCTCTAGAAATACATTTTGTACATGTCCTTCTCTTTACTTGCTATGCAAAGTCTCTCTACTGAACATGTCTCCTCTCTCTTTCTCTAACTTTATCTCTCTAGTACTAAAAGCAGTTTTATCTTCCATTTTCTCTCTCAACATCTCTTGTTTCTCTATAATTGATGAAACGCACCTCCATGCCTGTCTACATTAGTGGAAACAAGTTCCGCTTCTAACTTTCCTCCAAAGTCTCTTAACTCCTCTAATTCACAGAACCCTCCTCTGTCTCTCTCTCTCTCCGACACAAACAGAACCTTTTTCCATATTTGCATTCCTCCGGCTAAACCTCAGTTCCACGGTTTCACCATTCAAAGTTCCAAACGCGTTTCTTTAAATGAACCGCGTTGGATTAAATGAACATGGAAAACCCACTTTTGGCTTGTGTTTTTACTAAATATAGGTTAGGGCTATGTTCATATAGTCAATGTTTACTACAAAAAGCTACTTCACTGAAAATTAAATTTAAACCAAACATGCTTCATGGGATGGTGTAGCTGGTGTGACTCAGAATTGCCCAAGTCGAATCGAGGGCCGGAACCACCGTTCTGGGGATTCAGACTTGAGGTTCTATAAATTGCATGATATTTTTATTATGAAACCGGTGGTTTTAATATTATTGAAATTTCTATGCCTTTTTTAAACATTCTAAATCTTTTAAATTTTGTTTATTCTTTTATATATCGCTGAGTTGGCCGAGACATCGGCTCAGCAGGATGAAACTTTGAACCGGTAGATGATAGGTTCGACATATTAGTCTAATTTTTAAAGCAATAGTTCATAGTTTTGTATCAATGTTGTCAGATTCACTTCAAAATCTTCTTTAGTTTGGTGAGAAAAATGAAGCAAGTCGGTGTTTTGATCGATTTCGGGAAAAGATTTCAGATTTTTTTATTTACTATAAATAAATTAGATACTCATATATAAAAATATATAAAATAAAAAATATTTAAAAATAAGAATTTATATATATATATATATATACAAGAAAAGTTTATATAGAGCCTAGGCTCTAAACAATCAAATTAAAAGCTTACCTCAAATATTTCACTAGAAGAGGTTGTTTTGATGCCCAAATATCATCAAATTGTTCATCTCGACATCACGATACATGGATATGAGAAAAAAATAGATTTCAAGTTTCAGAAATAGTGCATCTTGCAATGCATTTTTTTACCTTCAATTTTCAAGATTTTCATAGATATGTTTGACCTATACTATTTTAAAGCTTTAAATTTTATAATTAAAGATGAGAATATTTTTTAAGGATATTATAAAAATTTCTAGTAGTGAAACCATATTTCTTGACACTATTTGAAGGTGGGCTCAAATTTGACTCTTTAGAGCCTCGGCTCTATACAAACCGCACCCTATATATATATGGCAATAATTTCATGTTACCATTGTATAGTAATATTATGCGTATATCTTCAAAAACCATGTTATAGCCATTTGTTTGATCCAAATTTTGAAATATACACTCTTTTCATTCTAATCACAAAAAGGAAAAATTTGAAAATACAATTTAGAAAGTATTTTTTAGCCCAATAAACATAGGCCATTCATTTTGGTGAGATGTTTAGATCTAGGCCTTAGAAAGATTTTTTTCATTTCCAACTTTTTTGGATGGCTTTATTATCATTAGATGAACAATGTGAAAAAAGAAAAACATGATTTTGAGTTTATAAAGGCTAAGATCTTGAAATTCACCAAATGAATGGTCTAGATTCGTTTTGGAAGTGACTCATTTTGACCATATCTAAGGTTCAAATTGAACATTTTGTTTTTAGATTGATTATTGAGATGAATAGAGCGTACAAAATTTTGGGTCTTGCATGACATCACTGCCAATATATATATATATATATATATGTATATATATATATATATATATATGAAGCCACTACACAACGTGTATGAGCAAAAATGAGCAGTGTTTTCACCTATAAGCTCCGCACCGTATGGGTTTTTCTAAGAGTTATATATATATTTGTTTAAGCCGAAGAGACCAAAGTTTCGGCTGAATCAACCCAGAGCGGACCTGAATTTGACCGAAGAGGCATCACCAAGCTTGACTTCGTTTTGGTCTAGGTCTAAACTCCGAAGCCTTCACCCTCTTCGGCTGAAGTGAAGCAAATTTGACAACACTGTTTTGTATAACCTTTAGTGAGCATAAGGCTACAAAATGTTGCAAGAGAACAGTCGCCGCAGGCCAAGCGCTTGGGCTAGGGTTGCTCCAGTCTAAATTGGTCTTGTGGTTTTTTCCAATGTTTAATTATTCCATAATGTGAACACCTTAACATAACCCTTTTCATATATTTGCTTCTACGCTGAGGCCCTTCGCCCTCATCCTGGTCGGGCTAGGATTGGATCTATTGGGACCCGGTGTGCTGAACAAGTTGCTCGCTTCCTAATGGAACCGAAAGCAGAAGGCTTGAATTTTTAAAACAAAAAATCGGATGGAATTTTAATAGAAATTCACCGACCCATTGCAATTTCAGGCATAATTAGCCACACAAAGTCAACCACCACGTTGCCATAAAGCCACACGTTGGCATAATTTTTGTATGCATAAAATAATAATATTATTAATATATTAACAATAAAAAAAATGTATAATAGTAATAATATGTTCCAA